GAATCTAAAGCTGCGACTATTGTCTGCAAATTTGCGAGACGCTGTAACGATATCAACTAGTAACGCAATCTTATGTAACGCATGCTAATCAGTATGTCACGTGCAGTAATTTCCCAAGCCTCGTGCTTAACAATATGGCTGAATAAAGAGTTGTTGTCTTTACGTATACAGTCATTTTACATGGTGTCAGAAGTGGGATTTGCGACTAAACGGTTAAGAAACCCATCGAAATTAAAGAATAAGCTCAAGACAAACTCTCAAGCACCAAAATGAGTGATTTAATCGGCTTTGAACCGCCAAAAATTGACTGGACTCCCGGATCAGATCTGCCACAACGATTTAAGCGATTTCGACAGAAATGCGAATTACTCTTCGATGGACCCTTAAAGGCACGTACAGCAGAACAACGATGTAAATATGTTCTTCTATGGAGCGGTGACTACGGACTTGACTTGTACACTACGTGGAATCTTAGCAGCGAAGCAGCAAACAAACTCGATGAATATTGGAATCGAATTGAGCAACATGTCCAGCCTCAATCGAATCATCTCCTAAACCGTTTCTATCTTCGTAAACTAAAGCAAAACGGACGACCACTCGACGAATTTCGAGGCAAGGATTTTGATACAAAACAGCGGTTATCCAACCACTCTTCATGACGAACTGATGCGCGACGCTCTAGTATTTGGCGTCGACTCAGACATCGTGAGAAAAAAATGTATCGCCGAAGGAAACGAACTGACACTCAAAAAAGCTAGAGAAATTGCCCGTACTGATGAAGCTACCACTCTACAGTTAAAAGCTATGACCAGCGGAATCGAATCATCGCAAGTAAACGCGCTACAAAGAGCAAAATCGAGTCCACAACACAAACACAAAGGTCAAAGAGACAAGAAATTGGGCGGGAAAACCAAAGAATGACAAGTCATGCAACAGATGCGTTAGCGAGCCCCACATAGGCGACAAAAATGTCCTGCTAGCGGCGCTGAATGCCACTATTGCCATAGACGTGGGCATTTCAGCAAKGTCTGCTATAAGAGAAAGCAAATCAGGAACTGAGCAAGACAGTAACCCTWCAGGTGAAATGTTCTTAGGATCACTAGAGATAGACGGTGTGCAAACCATAAGTAGTCGTAACAAAGTCTTCACAACCATTGAAATAACTGCTAGGCCCTACCACAGGAAGACAACGCCCATAAGATGTAAGATCGACACCGGTGCAGAAACCAATGTGATATCTAAAAACGATTTTGACAAGATCCTCGCATCACCCAGGGATAAAGTACTGAGATCACCACAGATTCTAACAGCTTATGGYGGCCAAAGGATTGAATGCCTGGGTACTTGTCAGCTTTTTATACATCACAAGACAGAAATAAAAGAAGTGACATCCACATTACCAATGTCCAAGGACCAGCTATGTTAGGATGTAAAACATGTGAAGATCTCGGACTTATTACCATAAACTGCGGCATAGAGGACACTACACCACTTRCGAGAGAAGCTCTACKCAAACAATACCCAGACCGTTTCGAGGGTCTAGGAACATTTAGCGATATGAAGCCTTACCACATTACCCTTGACGCTACAGCTGAGCCTGTCATCCATCCACCGAGGACGGTCCCTCTCCACCTGAAAGACCTGTACCAAAAGGAGTTAGATGAAATGCTCAGACTTGGAGTCATAGCACCTGTTGAAAAGCCCACTGACTGGGTCAACAGCATCGTTCTTGACGAAACCTTTAATGACAAAGGAGAACTCACAAAGCTAAGAGTCTGTTTAGACCCACGTGATCTAAACAAGTGCATCAAAAGAGAACATTACCACTCAAGGACAGTTGATGAGGTTGTAACTGAGCTCAACAATGCCAAATTCTTTACTATCGTTGATGCCAAAAAAGGGTACTGGCACGTACTGCTCATACCTCACGACATTTAGTACACCATTTGGTAGGTACAGATTTCAAAGACTCCCATTTGGTCTCAACGTCTCTCAAGATATATTTCAAAGACAGCTGGACGCAGCATTTGAATGCCTCAAAGGTGTGACAGGCATTGCAGACGACACTTTTGTCTACGGATCAACTGAAAATGAACACGACCAAAACTTGACAAAGCTCATGGAGCGAGCACAGCAGAAAGGCATCGTATTCAACAAAGGAAAACTACAGTTCAAATGTAAAGAAGTCAGTTTCTTTGGACATACGTGGACGCCACACGGCATCAAACCTGACAATAAGAAGGTATCAGCAATCATCAAGATGAAACCTCCAGAAGATGTCAAAACCCTACAAAGCTTTCTTGGATTAGTCAATTATCTTACCAGATACTCTGGACGTTTAGCTACTTTGTCAGCACCACTACGAGACTTAACCAAGAAAGAYACGGCGTATTCTTGRGGACCTGAGCACGACAAGGACTTCGACGAAGTCAAAAAAGAAGTCTCATCGCTTGGAGTCTTGAGGTTCTTCGACCCAGACGCAGAGTCAGTCATCGAAACAGACGCATCACTGAAAGGACTGTGTGCGGTACTACTACAAGACGGAAAACCTGTATGTTACGCATCGAAAGCCCTCACCGAGACTGAGCAGCGCTACAGCGCTACAGTGACTCGAACGTTTCCAMTACTTCATATACGGCAAATCATGTACTGTCCACACAGATCATAAGCCACTCGAAGCAATATTTAAGAAGAAACTGAACAGTTGCCCCGCAAGATTACAGAGATTCGTACTACGAGCACTGAAATATGACGTCACTGTAAAGCATGTAAAGGGTGCCGAAGTGCCTATCGCCGATGCCCTCTCTAAGGTATCACCAGAGCGCTCTCAGCCCAAGGAAGAGCTTACACAGTTACACATACATCAGATCACTAGAAACCTACCAGCCTCGCCAATAAAGCTGCAACAGATCCGCCAGGAAACTGCAAGTGACTCTATACTCAGCAAACTACGTGATGTGATATTTGAAGGATGGCCAACAAAGAGAGAGAAGTGTCCAAAAGTGCTACATGACTCCTGGAACTTCCTCGAGGAACTCACTATTGAAGATGGCCTTGTACTAAAGCAGGAGCGTATAATTATGCCTGSCACGCTACGACAAGAAACACTACACACAATTCACCAAGGACACATGGGTCAAGAGAAATGTCTTCTTCGATCCAGGTCATGTGTATTTTGGCCAGGTATTTCTCGGGACATTGTTAATCTCGTAAAGACGTGTGACACCTGCCAGAASTATCAACACAAGCAGCAGAAACAAGAAATTTTGYAACCCGAGCCACCTTGCCACCCGTGGCAAAYACTCAACTCGGACCTCTTCGAGTTCAAAGGCAACCAATACCTCGTGGTATCCGACAAGTACAGCAAATTTCCAATCATCAGAAGACTTACTGGTACTACATCACGCGCTGTCACCAACCACCTCRAAAGCATCTTTTCTGAACATGGTATACCTGAACAGCTTACTACAGACAATGGACCCCAGTATGCGTCACAGGAATTCCAGGAATTCATGCAGACCTATGGAATCCAGCACACTACAAGTTCACCCATGTACCCTCAATCAAACGGTGCTGCGGAATGCACAGTACAGACAGTCAAGAGCATTCTTAAGAAATGCGACGAAGAAGGAGAAGATATCTATCTAGGTCTTCTGTCTTACCGCTCAACACCTATCAGCAACAAGTCGCCAGCGGAACTACTGAATAACCGCAAGTTTAAAACCACCTTACCAATGCCGAAGCGCGTAAGTGTGACTGATGATACAAGCAAGACAAAAGAGGAGCTGTACCACAAACAGAACCTACAAGCGTTCTACTACAACAAGACTGCCGTACCGACACTAAAGGAGCTTCAACAAGGTCAATCAGTCAACATTTTCGACCATCACACTCAAAGGTGGGAAAGTGGAACAGTTGTTCGACCTGCAAAAGAACCCCGGTCATATATTGTAAAGARCGACAGAACAGAAGGTATCTACAGACGTACTCGATCACAACTGAGACATAAACCAACCACTGAAGAAGCAGAAGTTTTACARCAACCCTCGACTGCACCACAGCAGGACGCTCTACCCTACACGACTAGGTCAGGACGCGTTTCAAAGCCACCGGACAGGCTGAACATTTGAACACTGAACTTTGAACGTTGTAGTTAACAAAGAAAGATTGTTTGTAAAAGAAGGAGGATGTAACGATATCAACTAGTAACGCAATCKTATGTAACGCATGCTAATCAGTATGTCACGTGCAGTAATTTCCCAAGCCTCGTGCTTAACAACATGGCTGAATAAAGAGTTGTTGAGTTTACGTATACAGTCATTTTACAGACGCATCGCCAAGGAAGCCGTATTGGTAAAAAAAATGGAACTTCAAATATTGATGYCCAAAAGCCCGTACCAACGTGCAATGAAAGCGGATTCATCGAGTCAAGGGTTCWTATCTTTGAACATCTAACACCAAGAAAACAGTACTTACTAAAACAAGCAAAATCCTTTCAAAAAGAATTCAATTATGCTCATTGCTGGGTTAAGAATAACGAAATTCTATTAAGAGAAAGCGACGACAGCAAGGTAATCAAGGTAAAAAATCACTCAAGTTTGCATGGGTTAAGATCAACTTCAACCACAGTTGCTAGTACCTTGAGTTCTCCTCTACCTGTATCATATACTACACGAGTCCGTGGCAGGGGCAGAGGATCGTCATGCAGAGGCCAAAGAACCAGGCCAGGAAATAATTGACAATCTTAAAATCTCAACTCAAGTCACGATAACAAGTATGCCTCGTCATTCCAAATGTATATAGCTAAGGAAAATAAAATCCTATTGCAGGAACTACCATATCATTCTGTAAATTATATACCTGYCGTTCACGGACAGTTTAACAATCTGCTTGAAAATAACCGGCTAATAAAGAAGAGATATCTCGACAAATTGCATAGTTTGTATGATCTGGATATCTTCTCGGTAAACATGAGGCAATATGCTGTAATAATTCCTGATTCCCAATGTTATAAACAAAAATATGCCAGGTATTACTCGCCATACAGTCACGTCAAAATACGCAAAGCCATGGCACAACCAGAAAAAATAGCACAGGAAGACCGGTGCTAATTTCACAGGGGGTACCACGCTTTCTGGACGATACAGATCTCTTCGCGTTTCGTTTTTTTTTTTTAGATTCGTTTTTTTTCTTTTGAGAAAAAGCCACAACTGGAAATAGCTGCACTTCAATCGTCCTCCCATGCCATTCGAGACATTATCTGTGATATGGTATACTATAATGCCACAAATCAACGAAGCCGATAAAATTTGACCTTGGGTTTGGATGGAGAAATTTAAGAGCCGACTACGCTGGAACAATCGACAGCTCACTATGAACGTGCAGATACCAGCTTTGGAACACAAACCAAAGTCCTCAACAGTCCGTGCAAGACTTGGAAGTATTTGCAAGACAGGCAGGTAGTTTGTCTGCATATGGTGAACTCAGAAATGAACTAAGCAGAGCACAAACTCATCGTTGGCCTTTTTAATAACACTAGAACTGAGCTATAAAATTCGMACCGTAAGGCAAACCAGACAAAGAAAACAATTGAAGAYGTGTTAAGCGAGGCCAAATCAATAGCCCTTTTCGCGGTTGCGTGGGGGAGCTGTGGTTTTGCGCCAAAGCGAGGCAACTTGTTTACGCTAAMAAAATGGCAACATATACAGGCGGAGWGTGTTGTGAGTTTCTCCGGTTTTTGGAGGATAAACCTAGAGAAAGTATAAATCGAAATCACTTTAGTGATCAAACRGTGGATGTCCTAAGGAGTTTTCTCCAAGTTCATGGAATTCAAGAAAGTAAATTTGGTCGTYGTTGTTGTTTGTTGCCCGGCTTGTGCCCGGCAACTCTTGTGGCAAGAAAAACCATTYCTCAAAGCTATGCTGACAAGAGAAAGCGCATCATGTGAATGATGAAACGGATGAAGATAGCAGTGATCTAGAGTATAATAATAATTTTGGTGAAATACTTCTTAAGGCATAAGATAACTTTATTCCAAACGTTTCGCCTTTTCAGGCTTCATCAGTGGATACAACTAGAATGGCTTAGTTTGAATAAATTACAAAAATAAGTTATGCGAAATGGTTTGGAATAAAGTTATCTTTATGCCTTAAGAAGTATTTCACCAAAATTATTATTATTACACAAGGCAACAAACAACTACATCTC